TATTTTCAAGCCAGTGTCCATAGGCAAGCTATTCCCTAACCACTGGTGAGAGCATTTCAGCATTTCCCAATGGGTTCTGTCTTCCTGATTCTATTCCCTCTCAACCACTGTCCCTGCCTGATCTCTTTGCCTGAACCTCTGTTGGACTCCAGCTAAATTCTGCCTCCCAGGTGCATTTCTGTCTGAGCTGGATGCTCGTCACACCGTTCTCTGAACCTGCCTTCACACTCTAATGGATTCCAGGAACCTGGATCTGTCTGTTCCTGTGTGGATTGGAACCCCTGACTGGACTGTGGACTCGTGGATTCCAGTACTACTCCAGTCTGATCTGAATCCCTGTCCTGGATCGGAGTCCAGCCTGCTCACTGGGGTTGCTGCATCTGGGATGGTCTGGATGGCTCATGGCCGCCTCTCGTTGGCAGTGCATCGGCTTATCCTGCCTATGATTGAGAGGATGGACTGACCTGTTAAGCCAGGTAAGTGACTAACTCTAATAATCATCTTCTGTTCAGATGCTTGTGGTCACTTACCTGTGTTTCTCCCTAAGCCAGAGTGTTGTGAACCCACAAACACTGCAAGAATTCAGTTTGAGGTCAAGGATAGAGCATCTTGGAAGAAATTAAGATAATACAAGAAAAAAAATTGGTTAAATAGAACCCCTATGTGCTTATTTTAATCAGTTATTTTAATCAGCAAAGTGTCAGTGCAGGACCTTATTTAAAAGGCTAGTTGCAGGTTGGAAGAAGCTGTTTTTTATGGCAGGATGTTCTGGTCTTGATTGACCACTGCCTACTGTTAGAGGGGAGAGTCTCCAACCGTTTGGGTTTTGATTATGTATAACTCCTGAACACCCACCCAATTTGAAGTAATCCTTGTCTATTTTGCACACCCAAATGGAAAAAAAACTAACTGAGGAACTGTAAGCCCACATGACATGTGTGATGCATCATTTGAAAGCTAACACGTGGTTTCTGAAAATATAAATGAAAATGGTGAGTAAAACACAGCCTAAGCTGCATCAGTTCAAACATGAAAGTTGTTTGTTTTTAATTCTTGAAAATAATAGGTCTTTTTTGAACAGCAGTAATAAAGACATTCTTGAGAATAGGCATTGTATTGCATTTGTTCTACATCATGTCAACCACAAATGCAGAAAATTTCAGACCTCTAGTTAGAACAGCTCCAGAGCTGTGGGGCTTTAAACTTTTGGTGTCACCAGCATCTCCAAACCTCTCCAAATGTGGCAGATTGTGCCAATTTATGCCAAATGCTTTACTCTGTTTGAGCCATAGACTAACACTGAAGCATTTTGATCGGCACAAAACATTTCTGAAGCAAGTATTTTCCACTTTCTTTCAGAATCAGTGTATATAACAAAATGTAACATTTATAAACCTAAAATAAAATAAAAGTCTATAAAAAATTTTTTTTTTAAATGCTGCTTTTCAAGCTAAAATAAGACCCAGTACCTTTTCTGCGCTGTATTTGTATTTATTTTTTTCAGCTTTAGGTATTTTAATAAAACAAAATCAGCGTTGAAACTTCAAAAATATCGGAGTGTTGTTGATAATATGCTTCGCACTGTGTGCGCTGATCCAGTCTCAGCAGTTTATTTCACTTATATGCAAGCCGGTAACATGGCTCTGCTTTATGAACCCAGCCATGTCTACCCTTGTTTGAAACCTTATTTCATTGGCTACAAAGTCAAACAGCATCGGGTGTTCCTGACTCAAATCCAGTCATACAAATAGGGGGATACTTTGGTCTTGTATGTTAGAAGACTGTGTAAAGAAACATACCAAAATTTGGGGGAAAACAAATGAGGAAATAAGTCTTATTAGGAAGATGCTAAGCCTCAGCTATGACCAGTTAACTTTTCTGATGAAAAAAAGGAGACGTCATGTAAATATTTTCTCATCATGGGATATTCTTACTATGAAAATAGCTTCCGTTTGGGCTTTTTGCCTTTTAAACAGTTTATTTATGCCCTTTTCTGAAATAGAGAGGGTATGGGTTTGAGTGGGTTGGACTAGCTAGACACTTGAAAATCATAGGAAAATATTTGGTTCTTGCCATTGCAATGCAAGGAGCATAGAATGCCATTGCAAAGCTGATGATGGATTCTATATCACTGCTGGGCATGACCCTTCTGCTGGCACATGATAGAATTTAAAAACACCCTGGACAGGTCGCCAGTCCATCGCAGGGCACCCAACTCAACCATTTTCTTGAAATTAGAGTACTAAGGCCTTTTCACAACACACCTGAATGCACCTTTCTAAATAATCGCTCCTATTTCTTCTGTAATAAAGCATAGACTAATCTAATATAAAATAAGAGCGATTCAATAATTTTGAATGGATTCTGTATCTCTCCAGAGACCGACTGTATGCTTAAGACCAAGCCCTGCTAGAGCTTCAAAATAATACAACAGGTCCTGTACAAAATAAAAGCCTATATAATATACTCAGCAATTTATTGCTCTATAGGGTTCTTTATCATTACCCCAGCTGCGACTAGGTATAGCGATGCCAGTCACCACTAAGTGTGGCAACGCCAACCCGCAATAGCTGCGGTGAAAAACTTCCAATAGGTGTGGCAACGCTAGTCGCCAAGAGCTGTTGCCTAACCACTCCACAGTAGGTCATGCCAGTTGCCATCAACCATGAACAAGTGATTTCTCACGTGGTATGGTGATACATGCCAATGTAAGGTGAATCAAACTAACCCCATTAAGCCTTTGGTGCGAGTCCAAATATTCACACACACAAATACGCACAAAGTGGCAGGCACCTCCAATATTTCCTTCTGGAATTTTCTAGTTGGTATTTACAAGTTTCCAAGTGTGAGTCATCTCTTTCCAAACTAACTGTGTGCAGTGTTCCTTGACCCTGTTGGACCCCTCAGTACAAGCTCAAAATGTCCTCCTAACAATATCAACACTACACTTGAATCAATGTGTGAAAAGAAATGAATCGTCTATATTTTAAATTATATATGTACCCATTTATTCTGGTGTTGCACTTCGGGTGGGATTCGCAACACAATTTATTTCCCTAGCATCAGGAACACATTCACACATCCAGAGGGAAAATTGGATCTGTTTTACCTGAAATAGAATCCAACACAACTAATTTACTTTTCAGCAAAAGCAAAGCAGCATGCCTTCCATGTCTATTTGATTTGTACTAAGGTGCAGTCAACAGACAGGGAACAAATCCTGTCAGTGATAACTAGCTTCACATGTCAAAAAGAACGCTGGTATGCTTACATATTTATATTATTGTTAATCATTTGTGTCACCAAATTATGTTCTCGCTTGTTGTATGCTTCTTGTTTGTCCCCCCCCCTTGTTCCCGATGTCAAGCTACTCTTCTCCATCTGCTTTTCTTTTAAAACAAAAAATATTTTTTGGTATCCCCAGGCAAAAGTGCATGCTGCTTTAGCTTGTAGCCTATCGAGTGTATCAATGATGGCTTGTACTTATGGCATACTCTTCAAAGTGGTCAATGCACAGATGGTCAATTGAGTTTGTATTGTAATTCAGACGTTGGAGCTTACATCTACAAGTCTTTCGAAATGGTTTGTCTTTGGGGAAAATAAAATAAGAAACTCCAGTGGAATTCCTGGTGCAATTCAAACAGTTAATGGCAAAGCATTGGACCATAATGAACTTGTACTCGACAATCTGCTGCCTTTCCATGTTTTTTTTCCTCATTGGCAACTCAACATTACATAAAGTAGATGAATTCTATAATACGTATGTGTTGTGATTATAATTTTTTGTTTCTGCTTGAAGCTGAGTAGAGAGATTCCCACTTTAAAATATTCAAATTGTTTCTAGTATTTAGAATTTGAAAGATGTTTCACTATCTGTCTGTGAGTGGGGGGATTTTTATTTTATGGAATTGTTACTGAACCGAGAAATATACAGTAGAAAGAGCTGACTCTAGTTTAAAAAAATTCAATACACAATTAATTTCAGCATATTATCATGAAATGAAAATATAGGGTATATGCATGGAAATATGTAGGTCTTATTACTGGGACAGAATTCTAATATGCAAATTCAAATATAAAGCACTAGCATAGCATAGCTAGACTCTGTAAAAAATGTGCTTGGATGTGAAATTCATATATGTACTCAGCACTTTCTATTTGAACATTCAGGGTCTTTTTCAGCATCTGCATTAAAACCAATATATAGCAACGACCATTTGAAAGTAAGCAACAGATTCAATTAAACACTATAAACTGACTCCAAAGTACTTCAAAATGTGTGAGCGGTGTGTGTAAGTGTGTGAGTGTGTGTTTGAGGGGGGGGGGGGGGTGTTTTGTATTAAAACTCACCACTTACTCACCACTGTCTGTAGTCTTACAAATATCATATGACTTTTCAATTAATAAAGAGGATAATAGCCATATGGGGATATGAAGCATGTGGGAAAAATCAATAATAAGATAAATCATTCAGTGCATCATACAGCTAAAGGTGACACACCATTTCTACAACGATTTACAATCCTTAGTGCATGTCAACCATTCAGATGCTGAGGGAAAATGTATGTAGCTTCTTCCTAACTCTTATAGAAATGTAAGAAATAAGTTAGCATTATAGCTAAAGTGTATGTATATTGATCAGCTCTGACAGGGTTTAAGGTCTTTACTTGAGACCGGGTGAGGGATTTATATTATTGTTAGCTTTTACAGCATGAATGAACTGTGTCAGCTAAACACACTGAACATGTTACTCTCTGCAGAGATACAGAATGTAATGCAAACATACCACCTCCCTCTCACATTTTCTGTGTGCTAATTTGTCTTAGAGTGCTTCCTTCTTAGCTGTTAACAATCTCTTATTCTCACTGACATGCCAGTAAACAAATGTTTACTTTGATGATCACAGACAGCTTAATAAATGTGTCAATCCAGAAGAGGCCAGTTTAAATAAAGATATTTATGAAAGCTATTAGCTTTTCTTAGAGGATTATGTGCATTACCTGTTACAGTCAACGTGCAGCAAGAGGTGGGAGGTGCTGATTGTGAGAGCGATCTTGTGCCACTGCCCATCAGCAAGCCTATAGGGGAAGGACTCAGTCCGTGGCTTGCCCTTAAAGCGGTAGTGGTATCTGATCTCCTCTCTCACGCCACTGCTTTCCAGCTCAAAGTAACTGCAAAGATAGAAAACTTAATTAATACATTATAAAAAAATATTTTATCCTGTACAAATACAATACAATTGTGGCGAGAGTAATGAGTGAAGTTGATTTCAATCAAAATGATCAAAATAGATACTGATCCAGTAGCAATGAAAAAACAATCCTCAACCATATTTTTATTTCTACTCCTGAGACAACAACATAAAAAAAATAGAATACACATTCAGACACGTGTCTGAAAAGCTATTTTACCAATCAAGGTTTAAACTAAACATTTAAAAAAGGTATTGGCTATCAAAGTTTTACAACTGTTGTTTTACAGTGTAGTCCTGTTTCTCTGACTGTGACTGGCTGGATGTGCTATCTTAGTCCTCTGGCATGGGAGCTGGCTCGGAGCTCGTCTGCCTGGCTGTGTGTTTCCTGGACGGGGGCCGCCTTTTATAGCTGCTTTTTGTATCTCTGTTTCTGTCTCCTTGAACCCCAGTCGGCCTCAGCAGATGGCCGCTCACACTAAGCCTGGTTCTGCTGGAGGTTTCTTCCTGTTAAAAGGGAGTTTTTCTTCTCCACTGTTACTACAAGCATGCTTAGTGTGAGGGATTGCATTTGAGTCAGTAAGGTACCAAACAAAGCATACCAGGTAATGTATATATTTGATCTCTTTTTATTCTTATTTTTATCTTTATTATATTGTATAGTTGGATGTGTGTATATATTGTATAAAACTCTAACTGGAGCGTGTAACAAAAGTAATTTCCCTCTGGGATTATTAAAGTATTCCTGATTCTGATTCTGAATGAGTAATTCATCAAACATTGTTAATTGAATGAAAACCTTTTGACTGTTATATTTTATTTACAAAAACACAAAGACAATTTTTTTTGCTTTGAGTTTAAGTATTACATTTTATTGTCAAAGTAGCTGAATGACTTTCAGCTCTTGTCACACCATGTGGGCCCTTCACTTTATCATGCTAAATTAAAAGGCTGATAACAGTTAGCTGCAGCCTGGAAGCTGCAGGCAAACAGACCTGACATTTTAGTCTCCCCGTGGCGATATATGACCTCAAAAGAGAAACATTTAGGCACACTACAGTTTGACTCACATTCCAATTTAAATTAAGAACAAAAATCTCCTTGTGGTGCAATAATCACCATTATGTAACCTAAAATTACTTTATACTTTACTTTATATAATACACAAAACACAATAACAAAAAAGATGGCAAAGTACTTGTGCACAATTTTATAAAAAAGCTCAGTGTATTCAGGAAGAACGGGGCTAGTTGGCACACTTTTTATATTCATATATATATATATATATACATATATATATATATACATATATATATATATACATATATATATATATATATACATGTAGCAGGGGAGTGCTGTCCACTCCCCTGCTTTGGAGGGGAATGGACAGCAGCAAAGTGCTGTGACACAGACGGGAACCTTGTGAATCTGCTGCAGTTAGTGTGTGTAGGAGAGAATAGAAAGCATCAATCTTGTTAAACAAGTATTGTTCAATATCAATACCAGCATTGGTATCAATAGTGTTGCTCCTAGGGTCGATCTATGACCACCTTCTAGTCAAGAAGTCAACTGAGACTAAGGCTACATTCACACAGCAGCCTTAAGTGATCAAAATCAGATTTATTCGCCATATTGGACCTGTATCTGATCTTTTGATGACTATCTGAACAACACAGATCCGTTTTTTCCCCAATGCGACCTGGGCCCCTTCGCTATGTGGTCCTGAATCCGATACGAATCTGATCTTTTCAAATGCGACCTGTGTGTGAACGGCCAGGCCGCATTCATCATACCTGAATGTCATCAATACTCAACTAAGGTCCCTATTCTGCGTCTTGCTACGCAGAAGCAGGCAGAAAAACAACAACCATCACGGACAATATTGCAGAGAGCAGTCTTTTTTTTTTACCCATCTTGAAAAGATTGAGTTTTTAAGGTTGGGAACGATTGCTAGATGAGCTCCAGCACTATGATCCAAGTTTACTTCTGTAAACACAAAGCAAGCTTGCTTGTGATGTCATACACTTTCATACAATGAAAGTGTAGTCATACACTTACGTTGTATGAATGCAGTTCACACAGGAGATCACATAAAAGTCACATATATTTGGAAATGTCAACAGCAACGCAAAAAAAAATTTATTTTCACAAAAAAATTGGAATTGAGCAGGCCTGCAGTGTGAACGACGCCTAAGGTGTACCGAGACAAGACCAAAAACAGATAAGGTCTCCATCTTTTGTTGGTTTTAACCTCTAAAAAATGTTGGCCTTTTCTGTGTCTCGGAACTCCTTGATCTTTGTTGTTGTGTGGTATTCAATTTTTCCTGTTTTTAAGTCATTTTCTACTCGTAAGCTCATTTGTTGTGCAGGGGGCTTTGAGTCTTTTGTATATGGGGATTACTTCTTCTATGTTTTAATTCAGTAGCTCAGTTAAAACTGTCATTTCGTCCGCTTATACTGTATGTAATCATTAATGCATTTTTCCTCATATTTGTCACCTGGTCTTGTTGGGGATGCCACTTTTTTTTTTTTCATTCCGTGATTTATTTGTTTCCCACTATAAAAAAACAAAGATAGGAAATGTCTTCCAACACAGGTGCAGCAGAAAATAGAAGTGGTAATTAGCCCACTGTACACTGTAGTCCATGTCAAGTTAAACCTTTCTGCTCAGTTAATGATGGCACATCAACCCCCCACAATGCTGGCTGCGTTAAGGCAAAAACAATTATTACACACTAAATTAACAAGGAAGTGTTTTTCCACAACATCCAATCCCATTTGCATGCATAAACTAGTGGCGGCTCCCTCACACATCTATGTCTGAGAGAGAGAGAGAGAGAGAGAGAGAGAGAGAGAGAGAGTAGAATCAGTGCATCTATGACCAGCCATTTCAGCAGTCTTTATACAGCATGTCATCACTCTGAAATTAAATGAATACATCACTATGTGTCTGTGCAGGGTACCGACCTGACACCCCATCTTCATCATGCTCTCAGAGCCAGAGCCGCTGATACTTGTCAGCTGGAGAAGAATCATTTGCATCGAACGAGAATCAAAATGAAATCGAGAGCTCTCCAGCTTCGCCTCTCCCTCTGATGGAAGCCCTCCTCCAGGCTTCAAGAGACCCGAAATCACCGAATGAGCAGAAACACTGTTATCCTGATTTGACTCATGAAATAATCATCAAAGGCATTAACTCCACTCCACAGCTAGTGTTTATTTTATGAACTATTTAATGGTAGCTATTGTATGCCTGTATTACAGAAGAGCTAATGAGATGGGGTGGGGAGATGTAGACTATTGGCAGGCAATAACTTTATTATAAATAGCTCAGTGTGATGGACACAATATTTGGCTTGCCTGCTTTAGAGCTTTCCAATGCAAAATATGAAAAATGAGCCTTATCTTTTTCCACAGGCTTTCTTTTATTGATGAACCTTTCATAAGCAGCATTGTACAAAGCTGTTATACTAATGTCATCTGCTTGGATCTGAAATACTCCAGCTGTGAGCATCCACAGCTTTCAGAGTACGAAAAATAATGTTTGCATGTAAAACTAAACAAAGGAAAATACTATCAGAAGTGATGAAGGAATTGTTGCTTTGTTAAAAATTTTAAACTTGTGAAAGTCTAGGTAGAGTTAAAATAGACCGCATGATAAGAGAGGCAAAGGTCAGTCCATATTTCTGGAGGCAGGACCAAAGGATGCCCTTCTACATGAGTAACTGAAAATTCTTTATGTAGTTTTTCTAAATTCTCAAAACCCTAACCCTAATATATACCTTTGATTGTCCTTTGTTTTCATTTATTAAAAGTTCCTACCCTAACAGGAAGCCCCCAGTAAAACTTTTCCACCAAACATAATTTGGCCAACTCCTAAATACTTCTCTCCAGAATACAACATGTCACCACCAAATACTGCCTGGTGGTTGCATACAAAACCAAGTTGCGGAAACTCCAGAGGCGTGGAGGTGGTAACAGTTTTAACTGCCTCTAGTTTAGAACCATTTTGGGCTGCAGCCAGTATGACGGGTCGAAACGTGATTGAAATTGATTACAAATAAATAAAATGTGAATAGTTTAATTTACTTTCAAATGAATTGAAGCACTACTATTATACTTCATATCTGTAATCAGTTAAACTGTCCAAATATCCTACCCATTACGATCAAAGGTGATAATGTGTAAACAGTGGTTCTCAATCTGGGTCCTCAGGTACCACCACCCTGCGGGTTTTAGATTTCTCCTCACTGCCACACACCTAAATTATATCAAAGAATGACAGACAGGCTTCTGCTCCTCCCCAAATGCAGGAACAACAGACTGCTGAACTCCTTTGTTCCCCAAGCTATCAAGCTGTAAAAACTCCTCACTTGGGGGAAGGGAGGTTATAGGAAAAGGGACAAGGATCAGCACCCCCCTTCTTGGACATCTTATGCAAAACATTACCTTCTGTCACACGTGCAATATTCTTCTTTCTCAATGTGCAATAACACATGCCAACTACCGTGCAACCATTCTAATTTTTTACATATTCATAAGGTCAGTACATCTCTGCAGTACAAGTGCAATAATCCAAGACAACTACTGTATAGTCTGTAACTTTAACTTATTTATATGGTCAGTACAATTCTCAAGTGCAAGTGCAATAATTTAAGTCAACTGCTAAGTAGTTTTCCCTTAGCGTTCTACAGTGCAGATGTTTGTGTGTGTAAGGGAAACATATTCGGGAACATTACTTTAACTTTTTTTCTTTTTTATGCTTTTTGGAACTATATACACTCTTTTATATTGTCTGTCGTATTTTTATCGTTATTGGCATCTTGCTTAAGTCTTTGAACTCTATATAAGCTGCTGGAAACAGAATTTCCCTGAAGAAGTAATCCCAAGGGATAAATAAAGTTGAGTCTAAGTCTTCTGCAGGAGTTGATGGCTACTGAGAATGTCATGCAATCATTTGGTTCAGGTGTGTTGCAC